AGTTGGTTGCCTGTTTTCTTTCTCCACATATAACAAGACTTTTTGTGAGTGGCAGCAGGGTAGCCATGGCCTGATACTACTCTGTGTTGAAAGCAGAGGACCAACAAGGATTGCCTAGACATCAGGCTCAGGCTCTTGCTATTCTTATTGAGAAATTTCTGTCAAAAGCTGTCTTTAATTCGCTGCTTTTGTGCCAAGAAATACGCAACATCTCACATCATTGACAAAATGTAGTAGACTTAGAGGAGAGAGGGCTCAAAAAGTGAAACCCAGTGCAGAGAGACAGCTGCTTTTTCCCCTTGGTATTTTGACTGCAGTATGGTTGGGAACATTTGCTAGATTGGAGAAGCTGAGCTCTGAGTTCATAGATACTCAGGGTAAGACATACAGCATGTGGCAAGAGGACTGTAAGGTCTGTATAGTGATGGGAAATTCAAGATCAAATATTCATGGTTCCTGCAGTTCTTAATTCGTACAAAATACTGCAAAAGCCCTTCAGCCATGCTCTAGTATGAGTGCTCAGGCCAATGGATCCTTCTTACGGTCCCTGACTTTCAGACCCCATTTCTAGTGCAGGCCCCAAGCTCCAATACATCTCCATTACTGCCGATGGTTCTTGGCCATAATCATGAACGATCTGCAGTTCCATTTCCACCCCACTGCTAATCTTGGAAACTGGCATCTTTCCTTCAGCTGTCTCCTAGCAAGGCCAGGAGAATCAACACCACTTCTTCAACACTTTGCTCCTTCAATCTGGAGAATGCAGACTGAACTACTGAACCCTAATCTCTGCCTCCATCCCCAAAATACCTTTTGCCCACTCCTCCTAATGCATCACCCAGCATCCTTTCTGGGATCCTAACTGAACACAAAAGTGCAACAGTGCCTTTAAAGGCAGAAGATGAGATTTGCAGTCCCCTGCACACTTGCTGCTTGGAAAGAGCAATTTGGACATCATCCATTTTGTGAAGATGGGACTTGGAGGTGATAAATGCAGTGCTAAATAAGAGGAGAGAGTCTGAGGTACAGATACAGGTGCAGATACAGGAGAGGACCTGTCTAATGAGATAAAACTTTTAAATATTGCTTTTTCTGGAAAATGTAAGTGAATAAATATTTCACACTGATTTAGGACAGTGATGTGCCCTCAAAACCTCAGATGGCAATAATAAGAGCTACTCCAAAGTCATTACAATCAGGCACAGGAAACATGCTCTGAACACACTGATTATGTTGAGTCTCTGAGAGGCTGCAGAAGAGCCAATTTTGGAAGATTTGTGTGTGCTCAAAGATGGACTGCATAGTCTAATGTCAGGGAAAACAATCGGTGCTTGCTTTGCTCTGTCTTCTCCTGTGCAAACAACCACGGATTTATGTGCTGCCAGAAAATATCCCTGGGCCCAAGCTGACCTGTCTCAAGCTCTTGAGCTTGACATCTGCTCACCAGCGATGTGCAAGGCCAGGGCTGCAGGGCAGGCCCATAGGGACTTGGTGCTGGGAAGGGAAACGTGTGAAGATGTTGCAGCAATGGCTGCTGTGTCCCCTGGGAAATGAGGAAATGGAAAGAGAACTCACTAGACACAATTATCTGTTTCTGACACGTGATCGTAGTCAGCAAAACTGAAAGAAATCCTGAGGAAATTGCAAGTATTTTGGGGCAGGCATGAACAAATCTCCCCAGAGTAGCAGCTACAGAAATCCATCTTCTTTCTGCGAGTTTCCTTTTTTATGAAAAGAGATAGACTTACAGCCTGGTATATATTGCAGGGGCACCCTTGAAGGAAATACGCATCTGCTTCTCCAAGGAGAAGAATGAAGTGATGGCTCAGTGCTTCTGAGACGTGGTGATTCAAGGTAGGTTCTCACTCCCATTCTCACTGTCGGCTGTAATATTTCTTTTCTGTTAAGCGTTTTGTTAGACTTAGGAGAAAACGTAGTGGGCAAAAGAGCAATTGATAAGATCTACCCACCACATTAGGAGAAAATTACACATGCATCATGCTTGCAGTACTTTACATTTTATTAGAGAGGGTAAGGAGAGAAGGAATGCCTTGAGAAGGGAACACAGGTGTAAAAAAGAGGCAGGCAAAGATCTGGAGAACATGAGAGAGGTACTTAGAAACTTGTTCCTGTGTGACCTAATAGACGGTCTGTAAGAAAATTAAAAAAAAAAAAAAAAAAGAGGGAAAAAAAAATCCGGGGGGGCCCATGTACTTTTCTGATGCTCCTATCAAAACCCTTGAGGAAGGAACACTATTTCCAAAGGGAATGAACTACTCCACTGTGAGCTGGAAGCCAGTCTCCAGATGCTGTTAGACCAGAGCCCCTGGGCTCCTGGCAGCTCTGGTGATGTTTTGTACATCTGCAAGAGGCTCCAGACCCTCATGGGACAATCCAGACTAGTCAATCTGTTCCTATCCCTGCTACTCACCAGCTGCCCCAGCCAAATGTTGGACCTAGCCAAAGATTAAGGGAAACAATAACCAGCCCAGGGAACAGATGCACAGCAAGATGCCTAACAGTGAGCTGAGATGTCAAACAGCAGGAAAAGAGATTCCTTGCTGTTTTTTAAATTATTCACCATCAAGACAATAATATTCATCATATAGCTATTGTCATTACAGCATTTGTTGTTGTTATTGTTAAATAGCTTTCAAAGATGTGGCTATTCTGCACTTACAGTGACTTTTCACAAGCCTCAAAGGTATTTAGCACTCTGGAATTAAAATAGCATGAACTTGGCTAGACAAGTCTTAGTTATTCAGCTAAACATCTGGCTCTGTAAGGACTGTGGTGGTAACACCAGTGTTTTCTCCCAAAGATATCTGTGAGGTTAACATGGCCTGGTTGTTAGCTCACCTGGTAACTTCCCACCAATATCAGTTATAATTGAAACCAAAGGAGAAAACTCCTTCTCCCTCTTTGATCAGTGGCTCCTTGTGCCCAGCGAAGGAGAAAACTCCTTCTCCCTCTTTCTGCAGCCTTTGATCAGTGGCTCCTTGTGCCCAGCTGCAATGTGAGTTGCTTTGAGTGTCCCTAGGGACACAGGAGTGTGAGTGTGCGTGCATGCAGGGGGATTATTGGGTCCTGCTCTTTGTCCCCCATACAGTGAAGGTGAATATTCGTCATCCATGTTATACCTTTAGATGGGCCCTCTCTCTTTCCTTGCCCTCTGAAATTTTCAGAAAAGCCGTGACACAGTCTTCTTTCTCAAGCTGAGGAGATGCATCCAAAGGGCATGGAGAGGATGGGCCAGACTCAGCCCACTTACATTAGGACAGGGTACACTGGATTTATCCCTTACAATTTGAGGCATCTTCCATGCAGTTCCCAGAGCTGAGCTATGGGTCCTGAATATCTTTCAGAGTCAATGAAGTGAAGCAGGCTCTTTGGGTTGTGATTTCTCACAGTCCATGCTCAGCAAACAGGAGTAGTGTTGGGATTTGCACCCTCTTTCATGTGTGTCTTCAGGAATGAGTAGATTCATCCCATGCTCAGCAAACAGGAGTAGTGTGTCTTCAGGAATGAGTAGATTCATGGTCATTTTGGCCCTCTGTTAACAGAGGTTTTCTCATAGCCATAGGGGAGGGATGTTTGAGAAATGCCATAAAAGACATTGCATAATAAAACTTTAAGATTCATTTGCCAAGTCCCCTGGAAAATTCACACCAAATTGCCAAAGGAACTGAGCAGACTTGTGAATAAGAGGAGGTAGTTTGCAGGTACCATAACTCTGCCCTTGACCTTGCAAAAAAACCTATGGAAAAATATGGGTCCTGGCTCCACCCCTTAACAACCTTACTCCAAATCCTGTTTGAGAAAGCTAGTAAAACAGAATTACGTATAACTCTCGCTTCTTGAAGATCATATATAAACAACCCCAAGGTCACAGTCAGTTTCAGACTGTGGTGGAAAATCCTCTACCCCTTTGGGGCTCCAAGCAGAACCACAAGAATAAACAAACTCATCTGCTGCTCTTTTACATGGTATGTTAGTTTCTATGTACCTGAAATGTAGTTATTTCTATATATTTTAAGATCATGGTGGGGATGGTCAAAAGGAAGAACTTTTTAGTAACATTTCTGCCTAACCTAGGGCAGTTACGCTCTGGAGACTACTGGGATGCATCACTTGTCAATGAAGAGTTAGGAAAAGTGCCTAGAGAAGAGAGATGTCTGTGGGACTTCTTACTTCTCAGTTTTCAGTTTACTGGTTTCCACATTCCTGATCCAGAGCTAGTCAAGAGGAAAAAAATTAAAAAGACAAAAAAACTCATTATAAGTTTCCATTTAGATGACTGTAGGGAACAACCCTTGGGCTATGAGATCAAGGCAACTTTCAGCTAAAAATACATAAATATGCAACAATATAAAATAGGCCATAAATTGTTTAGGCTAAATATAATCAGACCAGATGTCTTGGGTCAGAGCATGGCTATCTCTAGCTCTGTATCCTTAATCCAATGGAGTTTAATAGATGAGACTCAGGGAAAAGAATAAGAAAAAAAAAAAAAGTAAAACTGTAAGGTTACTTTCCTCATCTTCAGCAGTCCTCAGCTTGGACAATTCCCCAGCCAAAGGTGGACTTTTGTGTGTTTTACAGGTCATGACAGCTTTCTTCTCTATGAATCGCCCCAGCTGCTTTTTCTACCTGCCCTTTTTCAGATCTTACTCATTTTAAAATTACTCAGCTGAAGGTCTAGCCATGAAAACAGAAAGATCGCAGCTATCTGAAAAGGAAAAACAGTTATCGAGCAGGAGAAAGGAGGCAGGACTGGACAAAAGATGTCCAACTTCAGCTCATCTTGAGGAATCAACTGTGTCATAGCTTTTTTGCTCCAGATAAAGAGGACAAGGTGCAGGCAGAATTTTTCCCCTCTTTGATCTCTCAATGTCCAGGGCAGAACTTCTTTCCATGGCAAAAACAACTCCAGATTGTGTAACCTGTCTCCGAGTTGAGTGTCTCTCTGCATTTGCCCTCCAGGTGTGCCTTCTTTAGCTTGAATTCCTCCCAAAATGCTGTTGCTGCTTCTGCTGCAGATCTCAGGGAGCTGCCTCTGGCTGGGACGCAGTGAAGTGGTGACCTCATTTGAACATTCATGTCCTCAGTTTTTCTTCAAGGAAACCCCACCAAACAAAGCCCTGGAACCAAACAGTCCAGCCCGGATTTGCCAACGTTACAAAAACAAGTATTATTTTGCTACTCTGTATGACAGGGACAGACGTATTCCTGTATACTCTGCTTACCTGTACCAGCCTGGGTCTGGCAAGAGACCCAACACTTGGATGGTTGAGCCCCAGGTGAGTATCCTCTTTTACAGCACATCTCCTTCCAGTCATTAAAAGCTGAGCTGCAGCATACAACCCTTCTCCATGTGCACATGAAAACAGACCCACTGCAGGGGATTCATCCCATCTAACCTCATGCACTCTGAACACATGATTCCTTTGATTCATTTTAGCCATCAGCAGGTGGATGGGATGAGTCAGGTCCCACAAGCGCCCATATCTCTGCATTGACCTTACAGGAACTTAGATGACTGTCTCAGGTGGAGATATCTATGTTCTGTATTTCTGTGTTTAGCCAAACAACCCCTTCTTGTCCCATGCTGAAGTGGAGAGGATGAATTGTGGGAAAAAGATGTTGAACTGGAGCTGAGCTTGGGGGACCAGCTATACTCTGCTCCCCAGTTTGGCCGGAGCTGCTGTGCCACCATGGCATAGCTTTTTTGCTCCATGTTAAGAGTTACCTTGGCTTTGTAAGCACTATGAGCAAAGTGTGTAGAAACTCCAAAATGGATAAGATGACCTAGTGAAAGAGTCCAGTCACAGGCACGCAGGAATAAGCGGGTTAGGTTACAAGTGGATAAATACATTTTTGCGATACTTAAGGAAATAAAAAGTGGATAGTATCAGTATCAGTCAAATCAGAAGTGAATAATCTTCATCCACCTGCAGTGACTGTTTATCACTGTTGACTCAAACTTGACTCGGAAGGACCCACCTGGACAGAGACCACCACCAATTGCAAAGTGCTTTCAATAATCCTTTGGTCAAACTTCAGATCTTCAGTTAAAAAGACCAAATAATGCAAAAGAAAAGGTGAAATTCAGGTCATTGTTAGATCCCAGGTATTACTAGAGAACTTAGCTAAAAACGACCCACAGAAGAAGGCCATTTCCCCCGATCCAGGGGAAGGCCAGGTATGTTTCTCTAAATATGGAAAGCATTATAGTTATCAAGAAATCATTTGCATTCTTTACTGTGAGGGGGACTCAAGCAATTAATTAATTTGGTATTGTACCACTCTCACATTTAGAGGGGATGATCCCACCCCCAGCAGATGTGGGATGTGGAGATGGGTGGAAAAGGAACCAGATGTGTGAGGGCAGACAACTCACCCAACTCACCTTTCTGTGCAAACTTGGGAGAATGGAAAATGCTCATTGTCTTGTGTGTCCACCCACGCTCCTGCAGCAGGCTGCAGGGTGGATTGCAAAGGTCACAAGTCAAATCAAAAGCAGTCAGATTTTGAACTTCGATTTCTTTTAGTTTCCTGCCTACAAATGCAGGAGGATGCATGGAGGGGTGTCAGCATTATGATCTCTGATTCACGAGTTTTCATAGGTGGAGATGGCAAAATCTGAATGCCAGCTGGTTTTTTTGGCTCTCAGGGACTTCTACTGCAGGGCAGCCTGCCCCATTATTCCTATCCCCAAGAACTAAACCCGTTCTTCTTTACTCCCCAAGCTGATGGGTTCCGTTTATCCCAGCGCAATGGCAAGAGAATGGACTCTCCAAAATTATTATAATGTCACCTTGGAGCAAATCAGCAAGAGCCAGGCTGTCCTCGTGGACTACAAGAACCTGACGGGTTTGAATCGCGGCCATCTGAACCCCAGCGGCCATCAGCCCGACAACAGCAGCAGGACGGCCACCTTCACCCTCACCAACATAGTTCCCCAGAACGAAAAACTCAACAATGGAGCCTGGAAAAACTACGAGCAGCAAATGATGATCAAGGAGACAGGGGGATGTGCCACCACCTACGTTGTCGTGGGTGCCGTGCCTGGGAACAACTATATTGCAGGCGGGCGGGTTAACAAACCCAGCTACCTCTGGTCTGGTGTCTGCTGTGAGTTGGACAGTGACGAGGAGCTCAAGGCCTGGGCTGTCATCGCGGAGAATGACAGGAACGACGTCCAGGTCATGTCGCTGGGAGAGCTGGAGGAGACGTTGACCAAGCTCTATGGAAGGGACCAGGTTTCTCTGTTTGACAGAGACTGTCCTCGAGACTAAGCCCCACTCCAGCCCTCTGGGTATAAAGGGCTCGGGAGCCTTTGCTGCTGTGTGCACCGAGCACCCTCTGCCCTGCTTCCTTCACTAGCAGCTTTCCTGGCTCTGCCTCTTGGAGTCTGTCTCTTCTCCTCTGATAAAAGGAGGGTCAGCAGAAGCTCCAGCCTTTTGCTTCCTTGCCCTGTCACCAACTCTCACCAGGAGGTCTCCAAGAGGGCACTGGGCAATCAGAGCCTGTCTTTAAAGCTAATGAGACTTTGACTTTTTTTTTCTTCTTCTTCTTCTTTGTCCATATTCTGATTATAGCTCCTTCGTCCCCTTGTTTGACATCACTGCTAGTTTGTTGCTGACTTGCCTTATCAGTAAGAGCAAACGACTTCACTCTGGGACAAGGAAACCAAAGAGTCAGAGGAGTGCAGGTTAGCTATAAGGTTTATCCTATTAATGTGTTCTGTAAATGCAGGTGCAGTCAATGACAGCAGAAAAGGAGAAAGA